CCCCAAAACCCCAAAACCCCAAAACCCCTAGATATAAATATTTTTGAATTTAATGGAAATTAAGATAAAATACATCTGAAAATACTCAATCAAATGGGATAAATTGCCTATGCACTATATTTATGACTAGAAAGTATATCATTTTCTTTGTTATAATGCTGCTTTTTCAATTTATTTTTTATACTCATATTCTGTCTCAGTGACCTAATCCAAAAACTTTCTTTTCGCTAGATAACCATCTTTACGATTCTTCTCCAATTCAGCCTCTAACTTTTCCTCTTTAGTGTATTTTGACCAGTCAATTTTTGATTTTTCAACAACATTAACATTCTTACCAGGATCACTTATTAGACCGACTAAGTCGTCCAGAGCTCCACAAGTTCCACCAAGTTTCTTTTTGTCTTATAGCTCCTTTTGTTTCATATCCTTTTAAGTAGCATTTCTCTCTATTTGATACGTCTTACCAGCATATCTAACTTTGTCTTGGATTAAAGACTAAGACTATTTCTCTAAGGATATTAATTTGTTATAATTTTACATTTCATCAATCTTATTGCTTCCAATGCCGCATTAAATGTTTCATCTTTCTTTTCTTCTTTGCTCTCTGACTTGTTTTTAATATCAACTTCATCTTTGCTTTCTGACTTTTATATTGTTGTCGTAACTTTTATATTGGTCTAGCTTTTTGACTCTGAGATTTTACTTGATGAATCAATTCTCTAATTTTCACTTGTTTTTACTATCTTAGACTTAGTCTTATAATAATCATCATCCTTGTTCATCATTGCCCAGAGATCATCTATGTCTTTCTTCCTTTTTTAAGCTTTTAATCCTGCTACCCCGCCTATTTCCTCATCATCTGATTCAATCTTTTATTTCTTATCCTTTATCTTATCTATAATAATTTGCTTTAAATTCAATTCTAAGTTAAAATATATGAATACCTTCAGCAGGGATGTAATCTTCATCGTCTTCATCAGAATCAAACTTTGCGGCTAAAAGGTTTTTCATTCGTATTTTATAATATGAAGCTAACTAAAATTATAATTTTAATTTAGCAATTATTTTTTCATGCCTATCGTGTAAAGATGATACCTTTAGGGGTTTTGGGGTTTTGGGGTTTTGGGG